CTATTCCCAAAACAATACCTAAAGAATGCTAATATGGACAACATTGCCTAAATCTCTACGAATCAATCAAATGAAAGGATGTCGTCTTTGTATCTGTCTGTTTAAATACATCATACAGGGTAGATCTGATTGTAATCAGACTAGTCTATTCTGAGCAATTTGGCTGTAAATCAGTTGAGCCAATGTCTCTTTGACAGACTAGTGACATAATATGTAACATTCAGCTGTGCCCCAAACCAGAATTACTGAGACTGATCCGAAGTTCTAAATTATTAATGAAAACATTGTCCCGATCCAAAGTGAAGTACATAACTGAAGGTCCTAGCTAGTACAGGCTCAATGCCTGAGGGTGTCAGACAAACCTCATAACAGGGCATCAAATCCATATTTCCGATGGCTATTGTTTCGCAACCCAGTCCTCATTACTCATTGTGTGGGTCAGGTGTGCTGAGAGATGGGAAGGAGCCAAACTGTGGACTGTCTGGGTGTCCCTGTGGACTGGGTTGTGAAACACTTTTCTAACCTAATCACAATTATATTGCAACTCTACAGCTTCAATATTCACAATTTTTAAAAAGCGCTTTTGCTCTGGTTGCCTTTGCCAGACCACCCCCAAACCATTACAGGACAGTAGAGGAGAACATGGACAGCGGTAGACCCTGATGAACAGAAAGGAGACTGTCCTGAATTTGTTGTTGTGTGGCTAGCTGGATTCTGAGGGCAGAACGGAAAATGATTGGTTCAGAGATATAACCAATCAGACTGTAGAGGAGGTGGGGCCAAGCAACCAGAGGAGGTGGGGCCAACCAATCATATGTCTTGGTCTCACCTCCTCTAGTTGATTGGACCCACCTCCTCTACAATCTGTTAGCATGTTGCTGTACCTAATTAACTGGCCACTGAGTGTGTAATGTGATATAAAGGAAACTAAATGGAACTTGGTATGCTGATGCTCAGCCGGTTCTTATGTGAACCTGCCCTATGGTAACAATTTAAAATCTGGAGCTCTCAAAATGCAAATTGCATCCATTTTAGGCTATGGCCACTTTATGAAATGGGGCAAAGCAGAAAGCCTAATCAATACAAAGTGTTTTCTGAAATTACCTACTTCCATTAGGCCTGACAAATTGTTTGGACTTCTGCCCGGAGTGTGCCCGGGGAGCAAATAGTGTCACAGAGTGGCTTGGTGTCCCTGTGTTTTTTATGGGATGTACAGCATTAGGAGGGATCGCCTGGTATATATTCCTATGGCATTCATCGCACAGGAATACGGATCCTCTCTGTCAGAATGTATCAGCTGCCCTCTGTGTCTTCATATAACCTTAATGTAAGTAAGAGTCACCAAGGTAATGTAAAATAAATCCCCCATGTGGTAGGACAGCAGCTTACAGGCATCTTGGTATTTTCTAGTCTCCAGGACGCTTGCTGAGAGCAGAAGCCCATCAGCCGAGTGAGTAATAAGCAGCATTACTGGATGTGCACTGGGCCTTAGCTTATGCTATGCCTGTGTGTTCAGGGTTATTTAAAGCTACTGGGCAAAATCGATGGGGCTACGGAGGCCCACTCCTCGGAAATTTAGTACCAATTTGCCCAAAACAAACACAGGGCACACAAATTGCTCTCATTTGGGTGGTGTCTGGCTCTGTGGAATAGGACTTTGTGCCCATGCTCAGAAGGTCTCCAGTTGAAATCTTTTGGCTGGCAGAGTGATGTCACCATTTGGCCCCTAAGCAAGGCCCTTAACCCCAAGGTTCTGGGATACGGCCAGACCCTCATCCTTACGCTGTGCTGTAAGTGTAATTTTATTTCCAGAACTATGATTGGCCATTTTTGGAATTCACCATTTTGATTGTAGGTGATGGTGCAATTGTGGTAGTTCTTTCATATACACAATGGAAGATTACCTCATGCAGTGGCAGAGGAAATTCATTTTGGGGTGGGGTCATGCCGTTTAATATTATTTATCGGGAGACTCCCTTATTAGTATATGGAGCACATACTGTATTAGCTGCCCTGTGCAGAGTGCAGTGGGAGTAGTGTGGGAGATCCCCTGAGGACTGTGGAGAGGCACACATTTAACATTAGACATAGAGGATGAGTTTTTGATGTGTGTTACTGGGTGGGGGGGGGGGTGGGCACCAGAGCTGCAAGTTGGGAGCATTGGGCGGAAAAGCACACGCTGGGATGCTCCCATGGACCAGTGTGCATCTCTGACTGGATATCCTGTTTAAATATTTAAGTTGAATCTCCCCCAGTCAGTGGTGCTGACTTCCCTGGAGGGAAGTCAGAGCCTCTGTAATCTTGCGGCTTCACCTTTTGACAGTAAAAATAAACCTCTTCTTCTACGTCGTGTCTCTGCGTCTCCACAGTCCAAACAAGAAAGCTGAGCAAACGAGAATGATTTTATGTGCTGAGACGGTAATAAAATTTTAGGACTAATGATAAAGGCAAAATGTGCACCTGAAATGTAATGCAGCACGAGGCTGATGGATTAAACCAGGGGCATGACAATCACTGCATGAGTCATGACCAGGAAAGCTCATCTCTGACCTTCTGTTCCAGCAGGGTCCAGGCGAGGTTTACACAAGGTCCACAGGGAACGGCTTTCTTTAACAATGCTCATGTGCCGACATTATTCTCACATTTAAGTGGTGCTCTGTGACCCAGAGCTGTTAGAATGACCACATGATGATGGACTATGTCAGTGGTGATTCTTACACTCCGGGGCCTCTTACTGCTTTTACTGTGTCGGCCCTTCGTACTGTACCTAATGGGTTTGCTGAAGCTAGTATTTGAGCAATATGTGATCACGCCCAGCGTAGTGAGTAAATCAAATCCTAATAAGTAGGTAACCCTGAAGCTAATGCATGCTGGAATTTCACAGCACTGCGTGATATTTTCACTGGAATCAGACAGGAAGGTCTAATGAGAATGATTTCAGATTTTTAGACTCGGTTATTTGTATCGTCCTTGTGAAATAACAAGATCAAGTATGCTGTAATGTCAATATTAGCATTGCATCATTCGTGAGATGACAGGCAGCATAGCAGTGGCCGAGTTAAACCGAATGGCTGCCAGCAGCCATCTGAGTAATGAATCCCAGTTAGCCCTGTTTGGCTGTTCCCTTGTGACCTTGTACAGGGTCAGCTGGGTGGATTTGAAGGACAGTTTGAGGAGATGAAGGATGGTCTGAGCACCCTATGCGCAGGTCTGCAGGCATCTCCCCTACAGTATTTTTCTAGCTTCCATTCTTCTAGTAGATTCCAGAGTTGTGTTTTGCATGATGAAGAATTTTGGTCACTTGAACCTTTCTGGTCAGTACATTTGTCCTGCCCTTTTTCAGACCTGTTACCCATGGCCCACCTTCCATCTTCTGTAAAAACAAAGACAGCTCAGTATCATTACCTTATTTTATTTGTGTCCTCGCATAAAATATCCTCCTGAGACCCAAGGAAAAAAGTGTCCTTCAATTATAGGTTATTTGTCTTTGGAGGAAATAAGACATCTTACAATTCAGATTTTTTCAAATTTATTTTTATTTTTAATTTCACAGCATGTCCTCTTTAGTGCACAACAGGCATAAGTATGTTTCCTTACATCAGTGAAAAGATAGATGCAAAAACAACATGTCCACTACAATGGACATAAATGAATGGGTGGGGTCTCAGGAGGTTACAGAAATTCATATTTAATTAACCTCGGTTGAATTAACCGGGATGCTGGAGCCAAGACTTATTGTTTACTGATCAGTCTACGCCCCGGTCCTTACCCTTGTTCAGGCCCACGGTGCATGATTCTTGGGACAAAATTACTTCAGCTGGAAGGGTGGCACATCATAGGGGCCAGGACTTTTCAGGGGACCCAGAACAAGCCTTGGGAGGCCCCCATTGAGAAAATGGAGGATCAGTTCACATCCTCTACAACACAGGTAATTCGGGGTCCCCTACTATCTCTATTGCTAGAACCGACCTGCCGCTCTCCTGGACTCTCTCCTGGACACCACTGGGGGCCCATGCCTGCGACATCTTTCCCAGTTGTCCCCCCAAGATGGTGGGCCTGCCTGTGGTTAGAAGCTGTGAGTGGTGACTCTCTTCAGCACTGCTTGGCACAGTCTCCATGATCGTGTAAGAAGTTTACAGATCTGGAATAGAGCCTCTGCTCCTTTGGAGTGAGAGGATCTGAGCTGATGTGGGTATCTCATACAGCTTCCAAAGGTGGGAATTATTCATACCCATGACCCTGTACAGGAAAATGGGTTGGAACATGGATGGATGGAAAATATAAAATAACCTCATCATTATTTTAACATTAATATTAAGTTTACATACAAGTAACTTTGCCTGTGGCAATTTTTCAGCTCAGGGCGATTATTCAAAACCACCCTCAGTACAAACAGTACAATTCAATTAATTGGCGATTATACTGGTCTAGAAACCTTGGCTTTTAGTGGGAGCCTGAGGAAAGGGCAAATTGAATTAGTACACTACTTCCTTACATCACAGGACATTCATCAAATAGCTAGTGTACCCATCGACTGAGCAGTCATTGAAGCTAATGGACCAGCAGGAAAAGAGAAATATATTAATAAAATAGCATGCAGGAGCTGAACTATGGACCCTGATGGATATTCTTATAAATATGAAATGATGCTTAGGACAACCTTCATGCATAGGGCCAGGCGAACATTATTATTCTCTGGCCGCAGGATCTTAATTATAATACAGTAACAGACTTTGAATAAGGGATGCAGCCCCTATTGCAATACTCACTTTAGTCACTGTTACATATAACAGCCCTTTCGGCTATATGTATAATAAAGTCGTTGATGTACTTGCAGACAATGTATGATTGGTAAAAGGTTGGTAACAGTTCAACGGAGGGTGCGTGACATTACCTAATTTTAGCGCTGTTTAAATATTAATGCCATATTTGTAGGGCTGAATGGGGCGGGGGCGAGGGGCGTCTTTTTAATTTCTGGTACGAGGCGGCCAATGAGAAGCCGGCAGCATGAATGAAGGCAATAAACCGAGAGCGTCCCCAGCCTGCTTTGTTCAACTGGGAGGCGGCGGAGAGCCCCGAAAGACAGGTAACTAAGGGCGCCCCTTTGCAAAATACTTGTTAAAACGCTTTTTAAAGCATTGCAAAGCGCTGACTTTGGCATTATTAGGCGATCTGGAGCGTTAATTGCATGATCGGGTAAACGGAAGGTCTCAGTCGCTGGCGTGACTTTCCCATAAGCAGGAGCGATCGCTTGTCAGTGTGTAACGTGGCACCGCTGTATACTGTAGATGTTTAATACAATGTATAAATAAATCTTTATTTTCACAGTTGTAGGTATTGATCAAGTATATTATCAGATATTCAGGTGATTCTTAGGTAAAGGGTCATTTTTTGACGTAGCTTCGGGATTTCTTTGTGCCCGATCGAAACACAATGACTAATATTCTCTGCCAAGTGTATTAAAATATGACAAAGCAGTCCGATACCTGCATGGATCGCATGTATCCAATGCGACAGGAACCGGCGCGGATTTCGGGGGTGACTCAGACACGCCGGTGCGGTGATGCACTTGTTGAAAATACCTCTGGTCTACCCCCCCCCCAAAAAAAAGAACTAGATGCATCATTTTTTTTTCTTTTTCGGAGACCGATAGTTTGCTACCACTTTTAAAAGGTGCTGTACATTTTTTTTGTCACACCCGCTGCATAAGGACAATACTATTAACAGGCTGTCATATTTCCTGTAAAGGATGGAAAAAAGGATTAAAGTCACAAAAGTTGAAAGTGTTCTTGGGAGGTGAGCGGCTTTTAGGTCTGTCGCGGGATGATGTGGAAATGCAGCTTTGAGAGGGTGACTGCGATGCGGATCTGCTGCAGACCGGTGCTGGCACATGGCTCGGGTGGAGGACGCAGCTAAAGGTCCTTCACGTATCTCACTACATTACAAACCGACTGCCTCGGGGTTTATACTCACTGATAATGCACAGATGGCTTTCCCTACTTAAATGTCTGTTAAACCGCCACGATGCATTATAAACACTTCGTGCAAGAATATGATAATACGATTGCCCCTGGCTTTCGCTTTCATTTCGGGACTTTTAACATTGAGGTTCAGGTTGGTCTGATCCTGTGACCGTGGCACGAATCTAGCAAAAAAACGCAGACGGTGTACAACAAATGTAACCGCACTCCCTATGACGCTACAAATTTCTGTATGCCCTTCCTCAGTATGCGTCCTTCTTTCATAATGCCTCATTTCATCTAACGATATTTCCTGCATTTGATTAATCCCTTATTTAGTATTCTTCACTATGAGCCAATTTAACATTACTCTTTTGAGTAATTGCAAAATTATCTCTGTTGTTGGGTTACTTATGAAGGCAGTCTTTTATGAATGAACATTTGCGCTGATATGAAAGGTACATGTTTTGTTGTTCTTGTATCCATCCAGTTTTAAAAATGCCTTTTTGGAAGCTATGTTAAGGTTTTCCTGGTCTGATGAAGGTTACTCCTAAGGGTAAATGCTAATCAGACTGGGGGTAGTGGGTACATTAGTATGACAGGCTTGCTCACACCACAATGAGAATAGTTTGATGATATATGACTCCCACATTAATCAGACACTGCTTTGTGTTTCACACTTCAGTAATCCTGTATTTGTGTTGTACAACAAGATCATTTTTAAAACTTGTGAAACTTTGTTGCATTTATTGATCAGTACTCTATATGAATTTGTAGGTTAATATACGATGGTAGCAATATCATAAAAATGTCCCTATGTATATTGCATCCGTACATTTTCTACACTGCAGTTGGCTCAGATGATGCCCTTCCTGTTCACCCCCCTTCTGGGTAATGTTACCAAACACTGCAAACTGTGTAGGATTTTGGCAAGTGTGTGATATCTGACCCTCATCTAGGGCCATAACAAAGTGATTTGTGCTGAGAAGCAATAATGCAATATTGGTTGATCCAATGGGAACAAATATATGTGTATTTTGTTTAATTAACACGGGAGTGAGAATTCTTCCAATTCATGTGATCTGTGGCTTGGATTGAAGGCCAGAGGTCCGACCGTAATCCTGCAGCAGTGAGTAGCATGTTGCATTAGGTGAGCAAAGTAAAACACCACCATTGTTTGGAAGTCAGAAGACATGTGTGAGTAATTAATTCTGACAAAGTCCAGTAGCAAATAATACTAGAAAATGGAAAAAAGAAATGGTTGCTTAGCAACAATTGGGGAGGGAGGTGAATGTGGTTTCTCGTCAGTCTCACGCTGGAGAGTTTCAGTGGAGTCAGAGTAATTAGGTTACTGTGCACTGAAGGTGTGACATAATGGTATTGATGCAGCAGCACATTGACCTGGTGGTGACAGGTGACTTTCTGCGTGACGTCAGGCTAATCATGAAGTGACATGAAATAGTGAGCACAGTAAGTCAAGTATGTAAACCAGGGTCTCTTGATTAGTTGACACCACCTTAAAGAGAAGCTTGTCCCATCCCCCCCCCCCCCCCCCCCCCCCCCCGCGTGTCGCCTTTTGAGAGAACACACACAGCTGTGTGGATTCTCCTCACATTTCAAAGCTTTCACTCATCTGCAAACCCTGTATTATGTCTGTACTTGTTTGCCCTATAGAGGAGGGTGTGGGATGGATATTACAGACTCCACTAATTGCCAAACCAGTTCTCCCAGCAGCTTTCCTGCTACTGGAACCAGTTTTATTTTCATGCTACTTTAACTTTGACAGCATGCAGATGTGATTTTACCAGAAAGTCATATTAGATCATGACTGAGGACAGGTCAGTGAAGCCGATATACGTTTTAAAGCAATTCTTTATTTAGGGATTATTCAATCTGGAAATTCTGGTATGTTTGTTTAACACTGAAGAGATCAACACTATTAAAATATATTGAATCATTTGAATCGAATTGTTAAGGTAAATTCTGAACCTGTTTTTTTTTGACGTTATGGGGACCATTTTTCAGGTCCCCACAAAGATCTGTGAGTGCAATCAAAAAATTAAAAATGTCAAAAATCTCGTATTTAGTTTGATTACTTATGGTTAAGGATAGGGCTGGGTATGGGTTAAGGTCGTCATGTTGGAATTAGACATTTCCTAATAGAAATGAATGGAGAGTACCCACAAAGATATAATTACAGACCTGTGTGTGTGTGTGTGTGTGTGTGTGTGTGTGTGTGTCTGTGTATGGACTGGCATCCCATCCAGGGTGTTCCCTGCCTTGTGTCCTATATATCCTGATTAAGTGGCTGTGGGTGGGTGGGTATTGATAATAAAGGTCAGAGTCATGTTGCCTTTTTCTAGGTGTTGGTACAGACTATCGAGTTCGTCTGCCTGATTACGCAGACTGAGCAGAGAGCACAGCATGCTATTTACTGTGTCGGGAGCATCAGATGTGTGTTGTAATTACAGAGCGGCGGCGGTTCGCGGGATGGCACCCGAGCTCCCGAAGAGCGGCCTGGGGGAGTTCCTGAGACAAACCCCTGTTCCAACCCTTTCATTAATCAGCACTCTCTTGGGCATCAGCTGGCAGTCAGTACAGAGAGCTCTACTTTACCTGGGTATTATCGAGGTTAGCTGTCATTAAAGAGCACTGGGCCAAGTCAGAAGGTGGTGCCTCGGGGCCAAATTATGGTTTCTGTGTCTGTCCCTTAAGAGAGAGACTTTCAGGACCATGCAGAGGGGACAGCTCCATATGCCCCACCCCCCCGCTGCCGAATGGAGGTGCTCACAGCCACTCTGACGTGTGCAGGTCTTTCTACAGATGCCTCAGCTTAATATTCTCTCTTAAGAGAGAATCTCACAAATTTTGTCTTTCAGAGTTTTTGTTCTGTGAACTTCATGGTATGGGGGAACCGCTGCGGAGTAATATGTGCTTTGGGTGAGACATTACAGAATTTACCAGGCCAAGGAAATTAAAACTTCTATAAGATGCTGAAGTATAGGCAGTCAGTCTCCAGGTTATGAACAAGCTGAGTTACATAAGTCTGTCTTTAAGGTGAATTTGTAGGTAAGTTGGAAAAATAATAATACAGTACATAATAGTAGTAATAATAATACAGTAATAATAAAAGTAACTACATATGGCACTGTACTGTACCTCGAACCAATGATACACTGAAGCCACACAATGTTTTCATGAGCGTAACAAAGTAATATTCCGTTTGTTATTACGAACCATTGTATTTAACCCAAATTTTTTATATAATAGGCTTTATTGTAGTCCGTTCATATGTACGAGTTGTCTGTAAGTTGGAAGTTCTCAACCCTGGGACTACCTGCATATAATTTGTGTTTTTAATTAGTTTTTTGACAAATTATTACATTGATAGCTACTAATTCATTTTCCACTACAGTTATGGTGCCTCAGCTCATTCCCACTAATACATGTTCTTGTAATACTTACACTTTTTTTTTTGGAAAGATTCATTTTTATGTTGTAAAAAGGCTGTATTTAAATTATTGGCATGTATTATACACAATCAACCCAGTGCTTAATGAAATGGTCAGTAAATTTCTAGACTTGAATTTCCTGACTCACTAAATAACTTTAAATGCTGTGTTTTAAATGCGACTTCCTGTCAGCTTGGTTTGACCTATGTGTGAAAGCCTCTCGGCCAGGCATTAAGCGCATTAAAGGCGACACGGCTGTGAGAGCTTCTCCATCACGCCAGCTATCTGCAGTAATCTCTCAGCATCTTTATGTGCATCCTGATTTTTTTATCCTTTTAGGTTTTTTTTTTTAGTTATTTTTTTTTCCCAACAGTCCACATTTTATTGGTCATGAGCAACAAGTGAGTTGGAAGGCTTCAGATACAGCCAGTGTGAAGAGGAACGAACACAAAAAATGGTGACTAACACAACTAACTAGCAAATGATCAATAGACAATGGACTAGAAATGTGCAACAGTGCTGTGAAAACACATAGACTTGACAGCGCGCGTCATGTCGAGTGTATGTACTGTAGTACTGCAGTGGTGCATATTTAGCTGTTGATGATTTTGAACGCTTGGGGAAACAAACCAAAAAAGCTGCCAGTCGTTGTTCTGATGCTGAGAAACCTGCCATCAGGAACGAGAAGAGCTCCTGTCTTGGCTCTGTGATAAACCTTCAATCTTATTATACAGCAGCAGCTGAAATATGTGTACTAAAATTGGACCCTTGTGTGTATATTCTTCTTCTGTATGATATAGTTTTTCATTTTCATCTTGGATAGAAGTGAAATATATATATGTTTTTGAAATGTCTGATGTTTAATAAATTATAAATTGCTGCACCTTTTTGGACAGTGGGAATAGATGAGTACCTGTGAGAAGCATAAACAAGGGGTGAAAAACATTGTTGAGAGCCGAGGGGTGCTGCCTTCCATCTCCTGTCCTTAGCTGGATGTGAGAACTCTCTGCCTGAAGGGGACTTCTCCGTGTTCATTGCTCTTATGGTCTGTCTTCACCATGCAGTCTCAGGTCTCCCTTCGGCGATTATTCTGCTCAGTGCTCATCATGCTGGTGACCATATGGAAAAATAAGCATCAGACAAACTCATCATGATAACACTTTCAATCCAAATACGCACCCAGTGCCTCCATGGTATCCTTGACGTTAGCGTTGAGTTTCCACATGCATGTTTATTCAGGAAGGCTTTATGGACCATCTCGAGGTGTTCATCTCCAGAGCAATACGGCAGATGTTCTTTATGCTTGACCCTCCTGTAAACAAAATATTGCTTGGTGGGGTTCAAACCCATGATTAATGGTTTCTATCTCAGAACCTGCAGACCTGTTGATTGATATTCAGCTAAGAGGTGTTATAAAATTTGAAATGTGACAAACGACATTAGACATTAGTGCATGGATTTTGTAATGTTTAATTATTAAATCATTTGTTGTTTTGAGGGAATCATCTCTATGAATACTTGGAATTGCACTATATACTGTTTTTTTACTTAATGGTTGTGCACTGCAGTTATTTAAGTTAATACGTATGATTACCTGTAGGTTCAATTTCAAACTCATAATCCTGTGCTGGTGTTATCAAAACTCATTTATACATTTATACTTTATGGGAATCCTGCCTTTATTCAACTATTCTGACATTGTAGCCGTGATGGGGTGATACTGTTGACTTGCTTACTGTGATTTGTACAGAGTTTGTGCAAAATTTTCAGGTGAAATTACTGGAATTATTGGTAGTTTTGATTAGCTTGTACAATTTTAGGTTATTTTTGTATTTCTTATGTCTCTGAAATTTCTATTCACCCCTTGATAGAATATTCAACATTTTGCTTTGGTGGTTCCCTCGTTCCCTGGTTCGGAGTTATGAATCTGCTGGTTTTTCCCACACAAGCAGCAGGCAAAAGATGGCTTTTAAGAACGTCTTGCATATCTTTGAGTTGCCGATTGTGCTAGTGGTCCTGTAGGTGGCGTGGGTCAGCTTTCCCTTGCCTTTTATGCACTTTCTTCTCCATTTCCTCCACCGAAAGCTAATGTCATGGTGTCTCCACAGGAGTGTGATCCATCCCAGAAAGGCCTCGTCCCACCTCCACCATGAACTACCTGCGCAGGCGTCTGTCTGACAGTAGCTTCGTGGCCAACCTACCCAACGGCTACATGATGGACCTGCAGCGGCCGGATGGACCTGCCACTGTCCCTCCGCCCTCCCAGCAGGGCTCCACTGCTGGCCCGGGCCCAGTCTCATCCTCCTCTGCCTCCTCCTTTCTTAGCTCCTTTTCCAGTGTGGTCAAGCCCTCACAGAACAATCAGAGTGCTGGACAGGCCGACACGTGGCCTTCTGCATCTTCCCTCTCCAAGCAGGTCCCGCCCACATCCGTCCCCTCGAAACCGGCCCCACCCACAACCATCTCCTCTAAGCCAACCCCGCCCACAACCATCTCCCCCAAGCTGGCCCCAGCCACGACCATTCCCTCCAAGCCGGCCCCAGTTGCGACTGCCCCACCAACGTTAGTGCCACGCAAGCCCAAGATTCTTCTGGTCATCGATGACCCCCATACGGACTGGTAAGAGCACCTAAACCACTGGGCCACATCCCAAAAGCCCACCAGGCTTCCTGTCCTGCTCTCACAGCCCAGCGCATTAATGTCTGTCACATAAATGGCAATGAATGAAAAGGTGAAGAGGGATCTGCCCTGATCACAAAGGGGCATGCAGGGTTTACACAATGTCTTGTTGTTATTGCCCCATAAATGACATAAGCAGGAATAATAAAGTGAAAAATGAGCAGGTGCAGATATTATATGGCTTCCTTTCTATAGTTGATATCAGTGTTATTCTACAATTACAGTACATTATAGGAGGCCCTTTCATCTTTTATGCCTTATTTAGAGCATCAAAAACTGCCCCATCCATCTGTGTGTAAAGTGAACTCTATTTTATGAAATAAGTCCGTACACTTATGTTGTCCTGGTTACCGGAGCAGGTACCTGACCAATGGTATGCCAGGATACCTGCTCGCATTGGCTTTGGCTTCCTTGTGCTGCCTTCCATCTTAAGCAGGATGATCCCTTAATATGGCCCCGTATCCCGTCGCACCACTTGGGGCTGGGGCTTATCTGTGAGGCTGAGTCTTTCGTGTTGCTATCCCACAGGATCAGATGCCACCTCTGTGGGTTTTTAAACCTTAACAGAAGTAACGATCACATTGACTTTGAGGCCAAGTGTAGTTTTTGGAGTTCTAGTTTGTAGTGTTCACTTTAATCTTACAGCTGAGCCCTTCCATAATGGTCTGAGTAAATAGCATATTTTTATGTTTACACTTGAAGTTGGAAGGTTATGTACACATCGGTTGAAGTTATTAAAACTCATTTTTAATCAGTCCACAAATTCCATGTTAGCAAAGTCGGTTAGCACATCTGTTTTGTGCATGACACAATAATTTTTTTCCAATGATTGTTTACAGACAGAATATTTAAATTTTAATTCACTGTATCACAATTCCAGTGGGTCAGAAGCTTACATATACTTTGTCAGTATTTGGTAGAATTGCATTCATATTGTTTCACTTGGGTGATACATTTCAGGTAGCCTTCCACAATAGGCTGCTGGCCCAATTTTGGTCCAATGCTTCGCATAATTTTCCTTCCGTTTTAGTTTAACACAAAATCTACGGAGTGTTTAAAAAATGAGTTTTAGTGATTTAAGTCTATGTAAACTTCTGACTTAATCTGAATATTTTATTCTTCTCCTTTTTATGCAGTGCTGTGAACAAGTGTTAGGCTACCAAAGAAAATTACGCTTAAATGATCTGGTGATCTTCTAGCCATCCAACAAAGTATGAGTAAATTTCTGTGTGACATTTTATGTTTCTCTGCATCTGCATCATTTTAATTTTAGTTTGTGTTTTTTCCTGAGCAAATGTACACTAACTGCCCAGATAAGTAGCAGATAAAATCTTTTTGAAAACTTTTTTTTTGCTTTTTGTTACTGTTTTTTATTAAAACAGTTTCAAGTTTGCAAAAATATCTGAACAATGAATAAATTTGCTTAGCTGTACCAAATTAATTATAGTTAACATCAGTTTTTCCACAATGTAAATTAAACACTCTTGAGTTTGCAGATCTCTAAAGTCTGCATTATACCAAATTACCTGCAATGCAAACTTGCAGATTGAAATCCTTACATTCTGCTGTCTCTTTGCTGTGTCTGGTGTCGCCCTGGACCAGGATTTCCAATCAACAAATGGCTGCTCATTTTAAAGCTGTTTGGGGAAAACATCAGTGCAGTGAAATAGGCGTGTGACGCCTCTCCAGTGAGACTCCAGGTTCTGTTCCCGGTCGACTGTGTCAGTCGCCCTTGGCCAAATGGCCCAGTGAACGGATCATTGACTCACGTTTCGTCAGGGTCGTATCATCATGATCCTGCTGACATCCAGCGTCACCAAGGACCGTGGGTGGGACTGGCAGAAGGGGGCTCTCCTCCAGACGCGACATGTGGAAAGGAAGTGGGCGAATGACAGCGTACACACTGGGGCAGGGGGTGAATGGCGCTGGCTGTAATTCCCCCAATAGGGTGATGTGTGTGGTTTACAGGTTGCTCTTTGGCCATTCAGCTGGGTGATGTCACTCTTAGGTTGTGTAGCATGAACTTGGGCTCTGGCCCCTTTTTTATTTCATACCATTGCAGAAGGTTGGTCTTTTAGATGGCGGCTGCAGCAGCAGGGGCTGGCAGGTGGGAACACTGGCAGCAGCAGCCGACTGTTAGGGCGAAGCTGACGGTCTCAGATTAGAGCGTCAGACCTGCAAATGATGATGGAGATGGGGGGTGTGAATAGCTAACGTGATCCACCTCACTCCTAACTCTCTTTCTTCATGTTCTTAAAATAAACCATGCAAACTGAGGTTAAGGACATATGAGTTATCCTGAGTGTTTTTTTGTCATACATTGCATTTACGATTAAATTTCTTGATATTTATGATCACATTTCTCATGCTTTTCGCCTGGGAATTTCTGAGTATTTTAAGAGGGTGTTTTGTTAAAAAAAACTGTTAAGAGATTCTTCCACAATGCATTTCTGTTCTTGAGGAAGTACAATGATGATATTACATAATAGGCAAGAAGGGCCACCAGTCTGGATATTGAACAATCACAATACAGAATTGTATCTGTCCAACAGTAAAGTAAGGATTCCAGTCATAATGGTCATTTTTCAAGTTCTCCACGGGGTGGCGCTGTTGTGCAAGTGTAAGAATGGCACATGACCAGGTGACTCGCGCTGAATCTCAGCCAAAAGAACATGACAAACAGCAGATGGTGCTGGTTGTTAACTCAAGGATACTGTTTGAATATAAAACTGCACTGATGTCCACCTTGGTTCTTCTATTACTTTGGTCTAGAAAAACACAGCACTGTTTAGGCAGTGTGGCTGGTAACACTGTGGTTAAAGGCGCAGACATGGGACTGTACCACCCGTTAAGGCCTTCAACCTTAAGCGATCCTGCAAAGAGCCCAGTGGAATAAATGGGCAGAACATTGTAAGTTGTTTGCTTTTAGTACCATAAGGAGAGCAAACCAAATGCAAAATCTGTTTTGGTTAGTTTCCTGTCTCAGACTACTGTGAGCCTGTTCTGTTCCCGGATTTTGAACCAGCAACGTTCCAGTTAAGCACATGTTCTCAGCCGTCCAGTCAAGGTTCCGTCAGTGAAAACAGATTTTCCATATCACATGTCTAGAAACGTTTAAGTAGGCCTCTTGGGAGCCTCTCCTGCTGTGTGACTATGACCGCAAAACTCACTTTCAAATGAAAGTGTTTGGAAAGCTGGTCCAATGTTGTCACAAAGCATGAATGGCAGTAATAAAGGTAATTGTCTGGAAAATTACACATCACAGCTGATACAAAAATAATTCTGCCTTAAAATGCTTGTGTTTAAATGGTTGTCTAACTAGTTAGCATGATGTTAGTGCTTTATTCACTATGTAAAGAAAGGAAGAAATTAAAAGACCTATAATTGCTAGTTGCACAGAATCATTCTATGAGTAACGTTGATAAAATTCGGATAATACTTATCCAGTGGGCATGGACAGGCACGGTATTAGGGTTTGGATCTGGACTCCTATTGATTTACTTGACAGTATTTCACAAATCCCAAGGTTATATCTGTCAGTGGAATATTTTTTGTGGTTGGACATCGAGTTTATTACTATGAACTGCAAATTCTGTGTCCAATTTTACAGCATTGCTGTGTAGAGAATGCACTGAGGGCTTATGGGATTCTGAAATTCTCTCCTGTTGCAGTAGTTCAGGCTTTATTTAGTTTTGGTTCTGCCTGCTAGGACCTGCTATACATGATGAAAACCCAGTCGAAAAATTATCAGTCATCTCTAATGTCTAGGTCTGGGTGATGCTTATCTCTCAGGTCATTTAACATATAAAAGTTTTTTTGTGTCCTGTGATGCGCTGCCATCCCATCCAGGCTGTACCTCAGCCTTATGCTCTATGCTGCCTGGGAAATGCTGCAGACCCTCTGTCACCCAGACCGTGATAAGTTGTTGGCAGATAGATGGTTAACCTAGATATACAGACATGGATTATCTGTATATCTTATTAGACCAATTTATGTAGGTACCATAAACACATGAGTATGTAGCTTTTTGTTAGTTTTACTTTTCACTTTGTACTCTGCGAGTTCTCCTCCAGATGCACAGTACCCCGAGAGAGACGACTTTTCCCACACTAAACTAAATGGAGGATACAGGGCGTAGTGCAGGCGACTCCAGTGCGGCCACGGTACCAAGAGCTTCGACGAACCTCTCTAGATATTGTTTAAAAAGAAAATATACAATTCCCAAAAAGATATCAGATATGTTTACTTGTGTGAACTCTCCTGCACTAATCAGATTGTAGAGGAGGTGGGTCCAAGCAACCAGACGAGGCAAGACCAAGACATCTGATTTGTTGGTCCCACCTCTTCTAGTTGCTGTGAATCAATGTTAAGTCTGTAGATCTTGATCAGCCGAGACACGTGTGTGAATCAATGTTAAGTCTGTAGATCTTGATCAGCCGAAGGCTCCAGAATTAGTGCTTCTCCTTTCAGTTATTAACTCATTATTGACTATTAATGTAACCACTGGCTGACCCGTATCTCACTGCTGCTCGGCGACTCTGACTGACTTCTGGATCATGTTTATCGTTGACCTCGAGCAAGCAGAAACTGCTTTATCGCTATTGCTGCTAATATAGCGATTTTAAGTTTAGAATTAAAAGTGTAATGACCAGCAATACAAACATTGGTGTAAACTAGGATTGGTGTGGTCTACAGCTAAAGTAACTATAACATGTCAAACTGAGATATGTAGGGAAAGTGAGGACCAATCCCAGGCTGTGCTGATAGCAGCTGGTATGTGTCACGGACCCCATGGTGTCACAAAGTTAATGCCACATCTGGTGTATAAGATAGAATAGCTGGTACAAATTCGTCATACTTCCTGGCTTCCTGGAATGCTACCGTTCACTGACTGATCAGCAGGGATAGTTTACTAGAATCTAATATTTGATGGAGTGGAATGTGGGCCGGGTTCGGGAGGTCTAAGGTCAGTGCTGGGATCCACGGGGCAGTGGTAGAATACCAACTGCTCAGTGTTTCCAGAACATGCGGACGAAGGAGCTCAGCTCTGGAATTTAGCCTCGAGAAAAAGATTTTTATTTGATACCGGCCATCAATTCCAGTAAAGCGAAGGCGTGTTTAGTTAGTGTGTTTTTTTAAGCGAGAGTGAAGCAGACGTTTTCCGTCTGTTTTACCCATAGAACATTTATATGAGCCTGGCTGAATATGTAATGTGGTGGGCACAGAAAATTGGATGGGGCAGACGTCTGTGAGCAGAAGGAAAGCAGAAGGGCAAATATTAAATAAGCTCGTCATAAGGAAAAAAAAAAAAACGCCTGTTGCAACATTTGTTACTGAAATTGAGGGAATCTCCTTAATCCTGAGGGTGTTCCCACACTTTATACAGCTGTGAAACTTACTACTCCTTTTGTGTGCCAACACAATGTCTGAAAACATGTTTCAGTCATGTTTAAAAAAAGAGCAATAAAACCAGGTGTAAATTGGTTTTGCTCATTAAATCAGTCTGCCACCTATCCTACAACTGTTTATCCACTGCAGTGTGATTGGGTGGGGGGGGGGGACAAGTCAGGGGGAACACCCTAGGCAGGATCATAGTCCATGGCAGGAACACGTACCCAAAATTGGCAATTTAGAGAGACCAGTTTCTGCAAATTGGCTTTTTAAGCCCCTTCCTTGAAGATTGGGGTGGTCAGTCTTAGTGTGATGATCCAGGGTATCTGAGGGCCAGTCTCAGTGTGGAGATCATGGGGAGCTGAGGGTCAGTCTCAGTGAGGTGATCCAGGGTAACTGAAAGTCAGTCTTAGTGCGGAGATCCAGGGTATCTGAGGGTCAGTCTCAGTGAGGTGATCCAGGGTAACTGAAGGTCAGTCTTAGTGTGGAGATTCAGGGTAACTGAGGGCCAGTCTTAGTGTGGAGATCCAGGGTATCTGAGGGTCAGTCTTAATGTGGAGATCCAGGGTATCTGAGGGCCAGTCTTAGTGTGGAGATCATGGGGAGCTGAGGGTCAGTCTCAGTCAGGTGATCCAGGGTAACTGAAGGTCAGTCTTAGTGTGGAGATCCAGGGTATCTGAGGGTCAGTCTTAATGTGGAGATCCAGGGTATCTGAGGGCCAGTCTAAGTGTGGAGATCATGGGGAGCTGAGGGTCAGTCTCAGTGAGGTGATCCAGGGTAACTGAAAGTCAGTCTTACTTATAGCAGAGCCAGATGTCACCAAGTGGGAACTGAGAGAAGAACAAGGAAGAGGAGGCGTTTGAGGTCTGGCCTTTTGTTTTCCTTCCCCGTCACTCCTGCTGCTTTCTTCTGCATTTGTGATATGAGACGTGTGTGATTAGATTAGCAGTACCTTGCACTTTTTCGTGACACGGCTGACAGACAGGTTCCCCTGCTGCTTTCACTTAACATTACTAGTCATTATGTTGATTAGGACATTTTTGGTTTGAATGTGCAGGTCACAATATTTACATAACTAAAGCTCTAGCAGATCATTGATATAGTGAAATTTTATTTTATCTTCACCATGTCATGATTTACCATGCCCAGTATTGTGAAACATCAGGTTTTCACATGAAGGTTTTGGCAGAGAACTCTTTATCTGTCATTTACAGAATATCTCTATTTTATCCTGTGATTATTTTCTTTGTAAATGCTTTCCTTTGAGGTTACTTGGGTAGGTCAACATTGTTGGTGTTTATACAAAGCTGGTTATTTTAGAAAGCAGTGCAGGCTGACCTTTCCCAACAGGGAAATCAAGGAGAGCTTTATAGAATCTGAACTTGCAATGCTGCAGTTTCACATTTGGTCAGAGCCCTGTTCTCTAACCAGTCCCCTTCATCTTTTCTCTGTCTACCTTGCAGGGCGAGGTATTTCCGGGGAAGGAAGCTGAACGGGGCGTACGAGGTCAGAGTGGAACAGGTCAGTAGCATGTCTGAAGAAGCAGGAATGCTAGCATGTACATGTACTTATGGGTGAAATGGCAGTTAGCTGGTCTTAGCATGGTTAGCTAATGCTGCTTGTATTCTGGGAGGCCTAAATTTAAGACTAGCATTATGGAAAAGGCATAAATCTGTTGATTGTCACATTAATAGATTTTGGCATAATAACTAGCACTTAGCTAGATTGTGTAATGACTTGATTAACAAGTTGGGCAAAGAACAAATCATTCAAAAAGGAGGTTCAGTCCTTTACATAGATGATGGTGTTTGAATTGTCTGTCATTAAAATGGAATGTAAATGCCCGCTTTTCCAAGTAGTCATGCCTTTAGCTCACAGAAAAATCTGCATTTTATTTTCTTCCTGTTACATTTAGCAGGGTGGCCCAAACCTCTGTTATGTTTCAGCAACAGTTTAACAAATTCCTTGCAATAAATGCATTCAATATTCAAGTTTAAATGGAAAACTTCCATTTATCGGATGGATTTCTGGATGAATGGATGCCTTCAGCCTTTTAGTTATACTAAAGTAAAATGAATGGAACTGATTGTTACAGTCTATTGTAATGTTTATATGTAGTCTTTCTTGTTTCCTAAAAATGCCTATTTTGCCCATAATACACCCATAATGGTTTCTTACTTGGATAGATGGACTTGCACTAATACAGTTCCAATTGTCGCAGATGATTTTGATTCTCTCTCCAAGATGGAGTATGAAAGTCTCCTTCAGGGATGCAGCAGCCTGATTCGAGTCCAGTCCACTCTCTGTTTGCTAATATATCGCACCATATTTTCCGGTTATAAGGAGTTATCTTGTAAATGGTAAAACCTGTCGTTGTCATTACTGGAATGAGTGTTAATCAAGTACACAATCTGTCTGCCTGTGTTCAGTATGCGGTTAGGGGACACCCTGGATGGGGTGCCAGCTCATCCCAGCACGCCCTCTCCCTCTCACATACACATACACACATGCACACTGGGTTGGCCCCCTGCTCTGGCTTATTCCCTGCCTTGCTCCTGTAGCATCCGGGATAGGCTCCAGACCCCTCGCGACCCCGAATAGCAGTTACAGAATTTGGATGGATGGATGGATGGATGTTAATATAGCATTGCTAGCATTGTCCTTATCAGCAGGACAGCACTATTTACGTTCACAAAACACTGATGGAAGAAAGTGCGTAAGGAGCAGGCTTGTCACTGTTCAGTCAGTGTTACCCACCTGCACCGTGCTTCACAGTGGATTGGCGATTCCGCTCCCATGAGTGCTTCCATCAACATTCCCATGTGCCAGGACTCAGCTGTGCCCATCTTCAGTCCTCCTGGTTAGCATGACATCCTTAGAAAGGCTGTCTGGCTTTGTAACTGAAGGCATGCGTTCTGTGTGGAGTACGAAGAAGGGATCCATGTAGGCGTCGTCAACTTGGCAGCTACTCATCTGCAATAAACAGGCCGAATTAGCTTGTTATCGACAGTGCACTGTAATTCCACCCACTATTGGCTTCAAAGCCTAATTTCTCCCTTTACGTTCAGCCAGAAACTCACAGCTGCCCCTGAGGTCAGCAGAAGTACTCTGTAACAGCAAGTGGAGGTACCCCAGCTGATTAGCCTCTCCCTTTCCATTTTGGCATCATTCTTCTGCCAACAGGGTCCAATTCTCAGTGGTCGATTGACCTGTGATTGGAGCTGATTGTACTCTTTATTAGAGCTGATTGGCCCTGTGATTAGAGCTCGTACTGTAGCACCAGACCAATTGACTGATTGAGCCACTCAATCAATATGCTTTTTACTACAGTCGAACCTCGGTACAACGTACCCCATTTATAACGTTTACACCAATACAACGTTCAAATTTCAATGTCCCGAATTCGCGTAATGCATTATTCCATTTGCCGGTATCGCTTAGAATGTACACCTTTACAGCGTAAACTTCGATATAACGTATGATTTTCAGAGGAAAATAGGCAAACTGACCTTCGTTACAACGTACAGCCTCATCTTCCGAGCGCGCACAATTCAGAATCGGCTGTTGCCGGCCATCTACATCGCTTAGCAATGCCTAACTGTATGACCCTATCCTCACGAAGCATTCCACGCCGGCCGGACTCTTTGCATGCAGCCTCCGTTTTTTCATGGTTTTGCATGGTGTCATGGTATCGAAATTTATTTCAGCCAATTGAATCATACAGGTGCATAATTTCGGTTTGACATTAGGTTCCAGTAAGGCGATTTGAACGATAAGCCGGCAGTGGATTTTGCGTTATGTCGGCTGTCTATGAGTAACTGATATTAACCTAGTTTGAAGAATATATAGTTCCTATTCAGAATAAGAACTATGTTCTTCAAACTACACAAGCTGTATGTCATAGTGTCAACTTGAGGGGTGTTTTATAAAAGTTTTTTTATATACATTTTGTGTTCTATCATTCATTTTGAGGGACTTGGTTATAACGTACTATGGTTATAACGTACAAATTCTTAATGTCCCCCGAGGTATGTTGTAACGAAGTTCGACTGTATATATTAAACATGTTTCTTATATTACCAAGTTTTAGCACACCTGTCTTAGCAATTTCGGTCAATAACTGTCATCCCATTAGAGGCAAGTTTGATATATATGCACTAATAGCAAATATTTGATGGAGGTCAAATAGCTGTATCCGCGTTTTGGAGCATGGGAATTGTGTGCTTGCTTCTGTTCCTGCTTTCTGTTTTATTTCTGCCCGATCAGGCTAATATTAGCTGAACTTTTGGCTTACACCACTGCTCCCAGACATCTCTGCATCTCTGCATGCAGAGGCACACGCCCAATGCTTGTCAGCACACATTACATTGATAACAGGCCACATCACTTTACAGTGCTTCAAGAATCTTGGAAGAAGAGCCATTATTTGCATACAGGCCTCCTACCCATTGTTCCAGACTACCAGATCTACAGAGAGGTCAAGATTCTGGAGTATGAAGAGAGGTCAGGATGCAGTGGGGTGTAAAATACTTGTCCTTTTCCTCCCAGTTGACCCAGCATGACATTAGCTCTTGGGTCATTCGGGGCAACATCTGCTGAGCGTAGCGTAAAGCTCTGTGAGGATCTGGAGGCCCAGTCACCCATGTTTTACACGATGGTGGCAGGGCCATACTTGGCTGTTCTGTGGCCGTCATGTCCTTTGATGGTTCGTCTACGTGGGCCAGGTGGAGGCCATGTGAGACATTCCACAGTGCTAGGAGAACCTGTCTGAGCCCAGCACTGTTCCCACCCACATCCAGTACAGCCTTGCCGTGGGCTGGTCAGCAGCTTAGGAGGCCACCCCGGACAGCCAACATGGTGGTCCCACAGTCGGTGGAGGGCAGATAGGTCACACATTAAACTGCTAACAGAAAATCAATGTGGTTGCAGTATGGAGCACACCTGTATCAATGTTTGGGGTGGACAAGGGATACAGAGATCTTAATGACATTTACAGGTCATCTGAAGGTGGTCAAGCTAACACTGTTTCACTGCATAATCTATACTGCTGTGTTCTCATGTTCCCCTGGTTTGAGAGCCCACCATTTCCAACTATGATAAATGTAGGTATACAGTATTTAATGGTAACCCTTGATTTGGATAGTCTACCTGCAGAGTATTTGTAGCATTTCAACTACTTAGTTAGAGATTCACAATTCAGCTGGTTCGCTGTGTCTGTAGATGTTAAACAGAATATATATCATCAACATACCTACATATTCTTAGTATAATTTAATTGAATTTGACTACTCACTCAACCGATGTTATATAAATTGTTGAATCTCAACTAAGTTGTTGAAATGTTACAAATACTCTGCGTACCATCTGTAGGAGGAGTATTCAGATGAAGTATTACCTGTTTAATTTACTTGCTAATGACTTTTAGATTTTTGTACCTTCTGCTGACTGAATTATTTTCTGACATGACCTAATACAAATGCTCTGTTATTTTAATTATGACCTGAGGTGAAGACGTTAAAATAATTATTCATTTCCATGGCTTCAGATATCAAGGTCTTGAGCACATTAGGTAATATTTAGCAGCAGTTATTGGAGTAAGCAGGCTGACTGACTCGCCTGTACTTTGTTAGGATAAGCTGATCTCAGTATTGTGTTATTTTAGGGCAGAGCAGGTGAGGGACACAGAGTGGATAAATGGCCTTTATCCATGGAAAATAACTGTTTTCGCCAGGTTTAGCTGTTTATACCACAATCGTGAGAGGACCCAAATGCAGATGTACAGAGTTTATTTCCAAATCCTGAAATCCGCCTAAAATTAGTAGTTAAAACATGAGCAGTATTTGGCAGGACAGGCAAGGGCATCATGGTGAAAAACACTAAATTCAAAACCTGATTGCAAACCCGATAACCACGGCACACGTTCGACAGAAGAACAGAGCAGTAAGGTTCCAGTGGCTTGGTGCAGTGCACATGCCTCGTGTCTCTCAAAGTGTGGTGACTGAAAACTGAGTCCTAATATACCAATATGTTGTTGTCTGCCTGTGAAGTTTGCATTGTATATGGTTATGTATGAGCCCTTGATGGACTGGCAGTGAACCTCAGTCTTGTGCCCTGTGCTGCCTGAGATAAGTGGTTAGAAGGATGGTTAAAGATGACAGTGGTTTATTGTTGTTATTATTATTTTAAATATTATTCAAATAGCCATGTTTAAAAACCCTAACGCTGCAAATGTTTATTTGTACAGGAAAATACTGGAGGCTTACTTAGCATGGTTGAGAAAATTGTGGGACTTTGTTTTTGTAACAGCACAAGGCAAAACCATCTTAAATCAACAGAGTATATCTCACATCAATATAAATAAATGTTTACCCAGCATTAAACAACTGAAGATTTGTGGTGGTTAAAGGACACACTTTCAAAATAACTTATCTTTGTTGAATAAAATGGATATTAAATTGGAAAAGTTTCAATCAGTTTCTTTTTGGTTTGTTTGGTTTTTTTTGGCAGTGAATCTACAAACT